TGTCCGGGCCATGTGCGGCCCCCGGCCTCGACACAGCCCCCAAGCCGATGTCCATCACCGGGTTTTCGCTCCAGGATCTCACCTCGGCCCTGCTGACCGGGCACGGTGTCCTTCATGGGGTAAGCCCTGGCGACCACCGGCCGCGGCTGCTGCATGCGCTGGCCCGGCTCCCGGCCAGCCTGCTGACCAGCTACCTGGCCAGCCCGCTGGTGGCCAACTCGCCGGCGCGTGAGGCGGACTCCCCGGCGGCCGCCGGCATCCCGCCCCTGGTGCGCAGTGTCCTACTGAGCATCCACGCCTCATTGGTGAAGCTCCTGCCGCGCCAGCGCCAGGACAGTCCGGGGCTCAACACCCAGGATGCCGGCGCCCTGGACCTGGATGTATACCGTTGCGCGGCTCCGGTGCTGGATCTCCTGCCAACCGGTCCCCCGCTGCCGAGCGCCGGTGGCACGGCGGCCGGGGCCCGTTCGCCGGCCGGCGGCCTGGCTCTTGGTGGCGATGACGCCGGCGACACCGAGGTCGACATCCTCTCCGGGGCCCTGGGCCGGGCCGGGGCCAAGCGCCCTGGTGCCGGGGATAGCTCCGACGAGCAGAGCCTCTCCAAGTATGACGACTTGTTCGGCGGGCCGAGCTTCGCCGAGGAGCCGGCCCTCGGCATCGCGGAGGACCTGCCCACCGGCGGCGAGGTGCGCGAAACCCGTGGCATGTCCTTCTTCGCCAATGCCACCGGCGAGCCGGAGTTCGAGCACCTTAAGCAGCTCTACTGTGCGTACAGCGGACCGAGCTTCGGCCGTTTATCTTTGCCCCCCCCCCTCCTTTTCGTCCCTTTGTGCCTTTTTTTTTTCGGTGCTTCCCCCCTCCGGTCCTGCCCCCCTGCACGGCCTGCGCTCACCCTCCCCCACCGTCTGCGCTTCTCCTGCATGTGTCTGTGTCCGTGTGTGTGTGTGTGTGTGTGTGTGGCTCGGCAGACTGGCTCGATGACCAGGCCCTGCTGCCGACGCTCTCGGTCCTGCTTGGCCTGAGTGATGTTGAGATTGGCCATCTGCGCGGCCTGACGCGGCTCTTCTTGTCGATGCCCGACTCGCTCGGCGACTCGGCCTCCATCCGGTTCCTGTCGGCGGCCGTGCGCCTCGGGGACCCGGTCGACACCGGCTTCTATGACCGGTATGGGGATGAGTCGATTGTCGATGCGGCCCCCGGCGGGGCGACCGGCTCCGGGACCGATCCCCGCGCCGGGCAGCTCACCTATGCGGATTTGTCCTGGGCCGTGCACGCCCCGGCCGAGGTGCATCCGCTCATGCTGCGATCCTGCGCGCAGATGCTGCTCGACTGGCGCGTGCGTCAGCGTCAACGTGCCGCGGCGGCCGCCGGCACCACCGCCCCGGCCCCTAGCCCGGATGCCGAGACCCTGGACTCCTTCCGCTGGACGACCGAGCGCCTGTGTGCCATCGGCGCGCCGCTCTGGTACGGGCTGGACCCGTGTGTCGAGGCCGGGGCCGGGCACGGTGCTGCCGCGGAGCCCCCGCCGCTGAGCCCCTCCTTCGCGGATCTCCTGGACGCCTGCTGCAAGGGGGCCTACCTCCGGCGGCGCGATCCGTGGGACTGCATGCTGCTGTATCTGGCCCTCGGCCGCCAGGCGGCCATCCTTGGGCTGTGGCGCGTGGCGGCCGGCTCCGGCCGGGCCGATGCCCAGCGCCTGGTCGGGCTCCTGAGCCGGGACTTCGGGTCGGACCCGCGCGCGGCCAAGGCCGCCCAGCTGAATGCCTACGACCTGCTGGCCAAGCGCCGGCCGCATCATGCGGCGGCGCTCTTCATCCTGGGTGGCGATGCGCCGGGCGCCGTGCGCGTCCTCCGCCGGCATGTGGGCCTGATGGAGGCGGCCCTGGTGGCCCGGGCCCTGGACCACACCACCGGGCACCGGACCACGCAGCCCGGCCCCCAGCTTCGGGCCCTCCTTCAAGCCGAGGCCCTGCTGCTGCAGGGGGAGTGGTATCGGGTGGCGCGGCCGAGCCCGGCGGCTGCGGGCGGCCGTGCCACCTCCTGGCGCCGGCCGGATGCCTGCTCGGCCCCGGTGGCTTTTCCCCTGCTGTCCAACAGCCGGGGGCTGGGCGGCCGGGCGGCCGGCGCGGCCCCGGCCCTCGAGGGCCAGTGCTGGTGCGCCCCGGCCGGGCCCGCGCCCAATGCCGGGTCCCTGGCCGATGGGGGCCTGGTGTCGCCCTGCATGCTGACCGATGGGGATGCCTCGGCCGCGGCCGATCCCTGGGCCTTCCACCTGTGTCATTGGTTCCTTGGGCACCGGGATCTGGCGGTGCGGTGTCTGTTCCAATTGGACCCGGCCCAGCACCAGGTCACCCCGGGGTCGGAGGATGTCCCGGAGACCCTGCTCGGCCCGGGCTCCGCGGATCCCATGCACACGGTCAGCCTGATGGAATGGCTGCGGCTGCTTAGCCGGTACCGTGGCGCCAGGTCGGCCTCGGGGCCGGGCCCCACGCCGGGCACCGAGCTGCTGTCCTACCCGCATCAGGAGTCCCTGATGCTGACGGCGGCCAGCCACCTGCTGCAGGTGGCCCTGCCGGAGTCCGGGCGTCTTGGCGGCACCAGTGTGCAAATTCTGCCGGCTGGCGATTCGCTGGTCGGTGTGTTTGCGGTTTTGCGCATCATCAGTCGCGTGCTGCGGTCCATTCGGGCGTATGCGGCCGATGTGTCGGAGGCCGTGGCGGCGGTGCGCGAGGCGGCGGCCGCGGCCGCGGCCGCGGCTGCCAGCATGCCCCCGCGTGCGGCGGCGGCCGCGGTCTCGGCGGCCGTGGCCCTCGAGTCCCTTGGCCTCGGGCTGGCGGATGGCACCTCGGCTGCGGCGCCCTCAGCCCGGAAATCCGCCTTCGACTCGTTCACCTTCAGCGATGCCAGCAGCTCCTCCGAGTCCGAGGCCGACGAGGCGGCCGACATGTCGGACATGTTCCGCCCGGCCCCGGCCCCGGCCCCGGTGCGCAGTGCCTTCGATAGCTTCTCCTTCGGCAGCGACTCCGAGGAGGAGCCGGCGGCCCCGGCCCCGGCCCCGGTGCGCACTGCCTTCGACAACTTCTCCTTCGGCAGCGATTCCGACGAGGAGTCCGCCTCGCCGGCCGAGGCGCCCTCCTTCAGCTTCAAGCCGGCCCCGGCCCCGGCTTCGGCCCCGGCCCCGGCCGCCCGGTCGATCTTTGACAGCTTCGACTTCGGCGGCGAGTCTGACGCCGAGCAGCCGGCCGATGCCGGGGCCGAGCCCCCGGCAGCCGGCACGACGGCCGACACGTCGCCGGTGTCCTTCAACTTTGCCCGGCCGGCTGCCTCGGCCCCGGCGGCGCGATCCATCTTCGACGACTTTGGCGCTGGCGGCCCCCCGGGCCCGGGGTCCTTCGACTTCGAAGCGGCCCCGGTGATTCAGAAGCGCCGGACTCTGTTCGACTCCTTCTTTGCTGATGGTCCGACTGCCCCGGCCTCGGCCGGCACCGACGGCGCCGATGCCGGCGGCCCGGATGCCGGCGGCCCGGAATCACCGGAGCACACCCCGGCGTCGCTGCTGGTGGCCCGACACTCGCCACACCTGTTGCTGTCGCTGCATGCGGTGTCATTGTCCCTGGCGGAGCATGCCCTTCTTGGCGCCCTGCCGGTGGCCGTGATGACCCGGCGATTCAGGTGCCTCCCTGCCGCCCCCCGCACCGGTGTCTCTTGCCTGCCCCTGTGCCTGTCGCCGTTTCCCCGCATCCGTCGCTGACCCCCCCCCCCCCCCCC